TCACTCCACTGCACTCCAGCCTGGGTAACAGAGCAAGACTCTCAGAAAAGGGTCTGGAAGGAACTAAGTAAAATTTTCATTCCCCAGAGATACACACGCCTTTTAGAGACAAGGTATTCTGCAGTTTTGTTCTAATACTAGAAACGTAGGAAGTCAGCTTTGTTACCAAATGACCATTCAAGTTTGATGATAAATGTGTGAATCTACTAAGTGGTTAAAGATCATCTTTCTGTGAATCTGCTCAGTGGTTAAAGATCATTTTTCTTTTTAAGAATGCAAGTTCTAGCCGGTTTTTCCTACAAGGAATCCAGTTGAATACAACTCTTCCTGACGCCAGAGGTGAGAACCCACCATCCCTGCGAGCCGCCCCCCCGCCCAGGGTGTCCTGGAGTCATTAGACTTCTGTGTGTGTTGCAGACCCTGCCTTTAAAGCTGCCAACAGCTCCCTGAGAGCCTTGCAGGCCACCGTCGGCAACTCCTACAAGTGCAACGCCGAGGAGCACGTCCGCGTCACGAAGGCCTTTTCAGTCAACATATTCAAAGTGTGGGTCCAGGCTTTCAAGGTGGAAGGTGGCCAGTTTGGCTCTGGTGAGTGTCACCGAGGGCAGCTGTCGTGGGGTGTAGAGGACGCGCTTCAGACTCCGCCTGTGGACATATAGTTGCTTCTGTGTGGGCTGGGGCCATGCCTCTGTTCCTCTGCAAGGAGCTGTTTCTTCTTCCCGGTCTGAGGAAGCTGCCCCTGCCTTAGCGAGGCCCAGTGTGTATCAGCTAGGAGCCCCTGGTACCATGTGAGAGTGAGGGATCATTTTAAGAAACAGCGGTGGCACTTCTCCCATGAAAGTCAAATACAAAACTGTCATCTGATGTGCCCAGAGGCCCTGGACGCAGCACAGCTGTCCGGCCACAGCCCGATTCCAGACGGGGAAGAAAGGTGTGTGGTTTCCTTGCTTGCAGAGAGCACCAGTCTCTGCAGCGGCTTCCCCAAGTGACAGTTCCAGCTGGACCTGGAACCTTCCGCCAGGGTTCCTCTTGCGTTTTGGCTGATGTGGAGGGTGGGTGGGGAGAGAGGCCTGTTTGCAGGCCCCCGTGTGAGTGCAGCCCTGACGCCATCCGTCTGTCTTGGCAGTGGAGGAGTGTCTGCTGGACGAGAACAACATGCTGATCCCCATCGCTGTGGGCGGCGCCCTGGCGGGGCTGGTCCTCATCGTCCTCATCGCCTACCTCGTCGGCAGGAAGAGGAGTCACGCCGGCTACCAGACGATCTAGCCCGGCAAGCAGGCACAGCAGCTGCAGGGGCCTCTGTTCCTTTCCCTGGGCTTAGGGTCCTGTCGAGGGGGAGGCACACTTTCTGGCAAACGTTTCTCAAATCTGCTTCATCCAATGTGAAGTTCATCTTGCAGCATTTACTATGCACAACAGAGTAACTATTGAAATGACGGTGTTAATTTTGCTAACTGGGTTAAATATTTTGCTAACTGGTTAAACATTAATATTTACCAAAGTAGAACTCTGAGGGTGGGAGTGCTGCTCTCTCGGAGGGAGGGTGGGAGTGCTGCTCTAAATTGGCACTGGCTCCACTATCATTTGACTTTAGGATTCTGGTGTTTGGTTTCTTCATTCTTTACTGCACTCAGATTTAAGCCTTACAAAGGGAAAGCCTCCGGCCGTCACACGTAGGACGCATGAAGGTCACTCGTCGTCAGGCTGACATGCTCACACATTACAACAGTAGAGAGGGAAAATCCTAAGACAGAGGAACTCCAGAGATGAGTGTCTGGAGCACTTCAGTTCAGCTTTAAAGGCCAGGACGGGCTGGCCTCACGCGGCTGGCGGCCTCGTTCCAGCGGCGGCGTGTCCTTGGGCATCTCATGCTCTGCGGCTCAAGGGCTGGCACTTTTTTAAATATAAAAATGGGTGTTATTTTTATTTTTTTTGTAAAGTGATTTTCGGTCTTCTGTTGACATTCGGGGTGATCCTGTTCTGCGCTGTGTACAATGTGAGATAGGTGCTTCTCGTGATGTTTCGCCGCGGCTTGGGGATTGTGTACACAGGACCGGCTCACGTAATGCATTGCCTGTAACAATGTAATAAAAAGCCTCTTTCTTTTTTGTGTGGGCCTTGTCCTTTTGTCAGCTAAATGGGAGCTCATGAGAAGGACGTCAGGGAAATGGGGGTCGAGCGTGGTTTCAGTGCAGAGAAGGGTGTCAGGGAAACGGGGGGGGTGAGAGTGGTCTCGGTGCCAGATGTAGGGAATGGTGTTGGAGTGGCCTGAGTTCCTGGCACAGTTGTCTGGTTCATTCATGTAAAAGAATTTTTAAATCATTAAAAGAATTACCGTTCATACATAGATACATGGTATAATATGCAGCCATAAAAAGGAATGAGATCATGTCCTTTGAAGGGACATGGATGGAGTTGGAGACCCTTATCCTCAGCAAACTAACACAGGAACAGAAAACCAAACACCACTTGTTCTCACTTGTAAGTGGGAGCTTCTGATGAGAACACATGGACACAAGGCGGGGAACACCACACACTGGGGCCTATTGGGTTGGGAGCAGGGAGAGCATCAGGAAGAATAGCTAAGGGATGCTGGCTTCATACCTAGGTGACAGGATGATCCGTGCAGCAAATCACCATGGCACACATTTACCTATGCAGCAAACCTGTTCACCCTCCACCTGTACCCAGAGCTTAAAAGTTGAAGGGAAAAAATGACCTTTCTAAAGAGAAATCACCTACTACGTGCAGAAGCCTCACATGAAGTGAGTGCTGAGCCACAGAAAGGAGTGGAATATTCACACTGCCGTTGGGGAGGCCTCAGTGACCACTGTGTTAATTTCCAGTCAGCTGAGAAACTGATTAGCATCCTTTATTAGATACAAAGCCACATCTCACATTTTATATATTATTGATATCTCAGGTAAAAAGTTTTCTTTAAAAAGTATGACTTCATAACTAATCAAAAGCTGGTAGAATGACCTGGTTTTAAACTGCTCTTTTAAAAAAATTCACAACTACAGTGTAGTGATGTCAAGTATTTACAACACTAAAAAGGAAAGCAGTGAAAGCTGGTCCAGTGTCAACTCTGGAAAGGAGAATCGCCGTCTGTGCGGAGACGAGCAACGCAGGAGACAGGCACTCACCCCTGTGCCAGCAGCCGGGCCCTGCAGCTCTCGCGCAGCTTGGCGACGGTGGCCATGGACAAGCTTCCAGGTTCTGAAAATATTTTCTGGAAGGCAAACAGTTAGTTTAAAAACAAACCCAACAACACATTTCTACCTTAGCTCTCCCAGACTGTGGCAGACAGATGGGCGGGCCTAGTGTGAGGTGAGGGAGGAGCCGCCCACGTCCCAGGGGTTCTGGGGTGACCCACAGATTGTCACCATCTCACTCCTGCCCGGGGGCCTAGGACTGCAGCTCTGCTGCTCAAAGATGTTAAATGAATCAAGCAGTTGAAGAAAAGACCATCTGCTTCTTTTAGACTTTTTTTTTTTTTTTTTTGAGACAGAGTCTTACTCTGTTGCCGAGGCTGGAGTGCAGTGGCGCAATCTCAGCTCACTGCAACCTCCACCTCCCAGGTTCAAGTGATTCTCATGCCTCAGCCTCCCGAGTCACTGGGACTACACAGGCGTGAGCCACCACACATGGCTAATTTTTGTATTTTTTAGTAGAGACGGGGTTTCATTGTGTTGGCTTGAACTCCTGACCTCAGGTGATCCACACACCTTGGCCTCCCAAAGTGCTAGGATAACAGGCATGAGCCACTGTGCCCAGCCAACATGGTCTTCTCTTCGATGAAGCCCCGGCTGCTGAAACACCGCCACGTTTGCCCTGCTGCACCCAGAGTGGCCCCGAGCCTCCACTCCCTCCCTCTCAGGACGCTACTGACTCTGCATCCCGGGCCTGAGCCTCTCCTAGCGTCTCGGTCTCCTCAGAAGGCCTGTCGGGTGCAGTTCCCACGACCCCCTCATCAGGGCCTGAGTCTATACATCCTGTGCCAGGCCCAGGACCCAGTGGAGAGGCCGGGCCTCGGGAAGCCACACTTCTAGCACCACACACAACAGATGAGTACAGCCATTAGGACCAGGACCAGCATCCACAGTGCCAGGGCCGAGAAGACAGGGCTGCCGTAGACAGGAAAGCCCTCGGAGGCCAGGCACAGGGGGCAGACGCAGGACAGAGCTGGAGGCTCGTCCTGTGCCCTGTGCTCACTGGTGCCCGTCCTGTGCACCCTCCGGGTGGTCAGAGGAGCCCCCGGGCTGCAGGTGAGGTGGGGCCCCCTGGGAGAGGGGACGGAGCCACGTGCAGCCCTACAGACACTCACCTGCATAAACGTGTGACACTCCATCACGAAACTGCCTTTGGTTATCTGCTTAAACTTATCGCAAATGTCTGGAATGCTGGTGGCTTCCAAAATAAACTCCTGGTGCTGCTTAATTAAGGTCAGGGCCACCCGGAAGATAATCTTCGAGCCCTCGTTAAACAAACAGTCCCAGATCCGAAGCACTGTCTGCAGAGACACAGGAACCCGGCATCACTCCCTGGCAGCCCACCCACCCCTGGGCCCGAGTGAGGCGCTCACCTCCACGGGCAGGACGTCGACAAACAGGCAGATGAACCAGCGGGACACCACCAGCGTCCACAGCACGCCCAGCCGCTCCATCAGGGCCCCCACGGCTGGCAGCTTCGCCCGCACCAGCTCCCCGAGGACCTCCTGGTCGGTCTTCAGGCCCAGCATGGCCGGGCTGTAGTAATCTGCCAGGCAGCGGGGAGAAGAGATCCTGAGACACTCCTGTCACCTCCACAAGCCCCATTCCCCTCAGAGCCAGACAAAGATAACAGGGCCACCCCGGGAGGACCCCTCCCAGGAGGGAAAGACAAAGCTGGAGAGGAAGAGTCAGGCTGAGGCCTGCAGACACAGGGCTCGTGGGGAGCGATCCCCACAGCCAGGCCTTTCGGGACGTCCCTGAGGCTGGAGGGATAGGCTGGATACCACCTGGCTGGGCATCAGTTCGGAAGGGCCAGGCGTGGTGGCTCATGCCTGTAATCCTAGCACTTTGGGAGGCCGAGGTGGGTGGATCACCTAAAGTCAGGAGTTCAAGACCAGCCTGGCTGACATAGCGAAACCCTGTCTCTACTAAAATTACAAAAATTAGCCAGGCGTGGTGGCGGGCGCCTGTAACCCCAGCTACTCGGGAGGCTGAGGCAGGAGAATCACTTGAACCCGGGAGGTGGAGGTTGCAGTGAGTCGAG